AAGAGCGTAAGCTTGCCCTCTCTCTGCTAGCGAATCTGAATGGTTCGAAGTGTTCTTCGAAATAGCGTAAGTTTGCCCGACTTGTTTTGTGCGAGGTGTGACTAATTAATTTATTAATATAAAAAGATTCATGTCGTAAACTTGCTCGGACTTGCCGAGTTTTGTTTGTAAACATTCGCTCGAGTACCCGTCTCGGTCCGCGCGTGCGGGTCAGTCTAGTCGCACATGCGGTACGCCGCACAGCGCGTATGACCTTTCTTTTGTTTGAAATTTATGGGACTGCGTCAATCCCGAATAAGTAGCATCTTAAAATAATGTCTTTATTATATAAATATATATATTATATAAACATTATATAAATAAATAATATTAAATATTTACTTTTTAATGTTTTTAAAAAAAAATTTAAGAAAAATTAATAAACTAATTTCATAGAACAAATCATTATAGGCAGTTATAAATTCATAATTCTATAATGTTTAATTCAATAGCATATACTATTTATAAATATTATCTGCTTCTTTTCCTTCAATTATAAGTTTTTTAAGATATAAATTTTTAATATAAATATAGAATCTAATGTTAGTAGAATATGTATTTGTTCATAAACGGTACAAGTTTTATTATTTTTAATTTATAAATACAAATATTGTAAACTAGATATTTAGACTATAAAATTTACACTGACATTTCTATTTAGAGTTTAGAAATGTTAAATTTATTAAAAATATCTATGTTATTATTCAATAAGATTTTTTTTTATATTCAAATATCTTGAAATTTTCACTTTACCTTTACGTTCAACTTTTTTTGTATTTTCCAATTTTATATTTTATGATATTCTTACTTTCATTGTATTTATAGATATTATTCAAATTATGACAATTATATTTATATAGGATTGTTTAAGGATATTTAAAAGGAAAAAATAATAATACTTCTATATATCTTACTTTGCAGTAATTGTAAATTGATTCCATTCTTTTTTTCAAACAACTATTAATAAGCGAACAATTATAGTAGGAAAATAAAAAATGATGTTTAGGAACGTTTAACGCTTAATTATGATTTATTTAAACAAAAATTATATAAAATTTTTTACAATTTTGATTAAACAAAATATAATATTATTAAATGAAATTAATAAGCTGATTATAAATATGAAGCGAAGATAAAATTATAAGTAGATCGTAACTAAACCGTTACGAGTTTCTTTTAAAAACTTTTGAGTGAAAACTGTATTTCACTATTTTTTCTAATGCCATTTATTTTTCAGCATAAGAAAATTTCATTGTTATTATTTAGTATGTATTATAAACAACTGAACTAAAGTAGATAGTATACAGTTCCTATCAATAATTAAAAATACAATTGTCTAGATTTCTAGAATTTCTTCTAGAATTTTATTAATTTTCCGTTATGTATAAAAGAATATTATTTTTTTCTCATTTAATAAAAATATTTGTAATCTTAGAATAAAATTATAAATTAATTTAAAAAATTTATAAATTTATAAATATGATACAAAACAAAATATTTGCATAAAAATGTATTATTCAAAAAATATTTTTGAAGTAAATAAATTGTAAAAATGTTATTCTTAGTTATTCCAAAATCAATTATCAATCATTGATAAAAAATGTGGATCATTAAGCGTTACGTTTGACAAATTTATGTAGAAAGTAACTAGAATTTTATAAACCTTATGTAAGAACATGACAATACTCTTTGCAATTAAAATATTATTCAATAATAGTAATTATCCTTTTTTTATTGACTTGTCCTAAATGAATTAATTTTAATTATTTTTGTGGGATAAAGTATCTTAAATTCTTCATTAAATGTAAATTACTTAAATAAGTTACAAGTTCAATTACGTTTAATTGTTTATTTTTCACTATTCAAATCTTATAAATTTTTATGCAAAATATCAGTCTAATGGTCTACCTTTATTCACCAATATTTACATTCTAAACTTTTAACAGATATTTGTTATTAAAATTATAATATCAAAATTACAGCAGTTGGTAAAATTTTGATAATATTACATGTATATAATTTATTTTTAGTATTATTGTTTTTTTTATATTTATAATTATGATTACATGATTTATTTATTCAAGTTATAAAAATTTTATTATAAAACTTGATATCTGAAATTACATTTTTTGTGTTTTTTGATTTATAAATAATATTAGAAAAGATTAATAAAATATATTTATACCTGTGTACATAAAATTATTTTATGTTAGTCAAATAAGTTTACTAAAATTTGATTTATACAAAAATTTATAAAATTAATTTATTATGTATTATTAAAAACTTATAATCTTTGAATGCCTAGAAATTTGTTTTACAAAATCTAATTTGCAATATTTTTAAAATTAAAATTGCAATATACGTAATTATAGATAATACAAGTATTCTTAAGTTTGCAATTCTAAAGATTACCAAGATATCCTCCTTTATTGGAATATTTTTATAAATATAAAATATTTTTTATAAAATAACTTTTTAAAATTTGACGAATATTTGTTCTTAAAAAACAATTTTCAGCAGTAATTAATTAATACTTTTTTATGTTTCATAAAGTTTATATTTTTATTGTTTTGAATTATATAACAATAAATAAAGTAATTTATACAATTCATTATATGGCATTGAATGTCTTTATAATAGTAAATTTAAGATGAATTATTTTATATTTTTAGAGGTTTATTTTTATATATTTATATTTTATTGTTTGTTTCTTAAAAAGTAAAATTATTTACAATTTTTTTACAACTTTCAGTTAATCAATTTTTAAATATTGAATAAACTATCGGATTTGCTATTACTAATATATTGAATAATGTAAAAATTCTATGAAACTACTATTTTATTAAAATATTTTGATACTTTAAATTATTGTTGATTTTATACTGAGTTAAAAAAATATTTCATCAATATAAAAATTTAAAAGTAAATAATATATATTATGATTAATTAATTATGTACCTCTTAAAACATAAAATTCTAAATATTGTGTTTTAAATTGCTAATTAATATATTATTTGAATATTTAAAGAAAATGCATTAAAATGTATTACTGCAAAATGTTATTGCCATCCCAATATTTAATTAAAATGTTTATGGCTCCTTAACAACGTTGGTCTATGAATAAATCTTTTTGCTTATATATTTGAACCTTTACATTTGAAATACCAAGAACTTTGTTCTTTTATGGAAAAATTATACTATTGAAATTTAAATATCATATAAAATCATGCAATTTTATTTAGTAATATTGATAATTTTAACTCATTGTACAATTGTAGATGGTTATTATTCCAATATTGGTAATTAAAAATATAAAATCAATTAATCTGAATTTAATTTAATTGTACTCTGAATAGTTAATTAATAATACCTTTGCTGATGAACAATATTTATCTTTGTAAATAGACAGAGGCAATTCATTTTATTTTTTTAATTACATCACTTAATAATGAATAGAATATAGGATTATTCACTAAAGTTGTGCCAATCGTTTTTAATTGTGTACATTCAATAGATGGTTAATGTAAATGAATATACATCTTTTTTAATGGCTTGATCATTATTAATATTCATAACAGACTGAATATTTCACGAATTAATCACCAATTAGCCATACCAGGCTTATTTAATGTCATAAAGTAAATTTGACAGGAGCTTCCTCCTTTTGCTGATGAGAAAAACACTTTATCATTTCGTTCACAAAGAAATTTTAGGCGTTGTGCTTTTTTATGCATAAACACACCATCTAAATGGCCACTTTCAACACTTCTTATCTCTATAGCTTTATTACCCCATCCCATTATTTGTCCTATTCCAATATATGCTACACTTGTAGGCATTTCTCCCCATTGCAATACCATAGTCTTTGATACTCTACCATATGTATTAACATAAACACCTTCATTATCATAACAAAGCAAAAGCTGCATACCATTACTATTTGGCAAAGCTACAATACAATGAGGACAAATTGGCCCTTGTGTATGTTTAGGTAAATATATATCATAAACAGTGGCAGAATCTAGATCAACTGCATGAAAGCCATCAGTACTACCATAAATAACTTTTAATCTAGTTCCTTCTTCAACAGTGAGATCAACTAAAAGTGGTCTATGTGCCAGTTCTCCAAAAGATTTGAATGCCATGAACTTGTGATATGGTTTGGGGGCCCATGCATAAATTTCTATTGATTCTTTGAGTGCAATAACGAGAAATTTTATTCTTTCATATTTTACTATTTTAAAATGTACTGCGCCTTGTAAATCACCTACATTAATCCAACCATTACGACGTTCTACTTGTTCACTATGACCATCTGTACGCAAAATTTTACTTTTTAACCAAGACAAATAATAAACACGCACTCGATTTTTTTTCCCACTAATAGTGACAAGAATATTTTGTCCCTCAAGTACTTCCATTTGTTGAAAGCGCCTTCTACTGATTAATTGATAAACTTTACCTTGTCCACTTCTATCTAAAAGCATAAGACCATTTTCAGTACCAATAAGTAAATTAACACCCCACAACGCAGCGCAAAGTATTTCACTATTAAAACGTTTTTTATATTTCCGTATTTCTGGAGTATCAGATGTCAAATCATGACTTGTAGGTGTTACATTCACATTAACATGAGACTCCCTTCTGGCTGGTCCAGCTCCAAAACCAAATGTTAAAAAGGATCTCTGTTTCTGTTGAAGTGCCAATGGAGGAGATTTTACTGCTTGTCGATACTCATCACTTATAGTTTTATCTTGTCTTTGTCCAGGTGAAGAAGTGAGAAGATCTGGCAATACCGAACTTGTCCTAGAGCCTGGAGAATCTAATCTTTGGAAGTCTCCACTAGTTGTACCAGCAATTCTACTACGATCTTCTCGATTTCTTTTCATAACTAATGTGTGATCACAGATTTCTTCATCAGGAGTCGGAGGCAAAGGTCGATTTGGAGCACTAGTTTCATGATGAGAATTATGATTTTGGGATGAAGATGAAGAAGAATCTAATTGTGGCAATGGTTTAGGAGGATCACTTGCAAGAAGGGTGCCATCATTTCTATTACTATTTCCACTAATATCTTCCATATCATCATCACTGTCACTTTCAATCATTAAAGCCATAGGTTTAAAAACATGACTATTTCTTTGAGATGCTGATACAGTAATTGATCCACTACTAGTTCCTCCACTTATTTGATGACTAGAAGGCGGTGTTGGAATTTTGTGTGCTTGTCGAAGATCATCCTTAGGCGTAGGAGGTAATGGTCGTGAGGGGGGATGTGGATCTGGTACAACAATCAGTCTATGGGGTACTGAAGGTCTGTTATGTTGTACAACTTCTGCTTCTTTTACTCGACTAGGAATTTGTTTATTATCTTTAGCTGCTGGACTATGAGATAATATCTCTTGTGAAAGTGTTCTTCCTTCTTGTATTTGTTGGAAATTACGACGTAAAGTATCACCACCAGGTGCTTGAATAATTGAAGATGGCTCTCCAGCAATAGCTGGTTCATCCTCTTCATTTTCACTACCACTATACCGATAATCATCACGTTCCTTTTCTTGTTTTCGTTTTTTACAACGATCAATATGATCCTTAAGTTGAATTCGTACTTGTCTCTCTGTAGGTTGATCACGAATAAATGGATGCTTCAGTAATTGTTCAGTATATGGCCTCTGGTGATAATCTTTAACTAAAACAGTTTCAATGAAACCATGAAACTTTTTGGCCCATTTTTTTGACTTTAATCTTGGAGGAGGATTACGAGGAATCAAAAACAATGCTCTCATTGGATGTAAGTCACAAAGAGGAGGTTGTGATTCTGCCATTTCTAATGCTGTGATTCCTAAAGACCAAAGGTCACTTCTATTATCATAAGTTGCTTCTGGATTTTCATCACAAGCAATAACTTCTGGGGCCATCCAATATGGTGTTCCAATAAAAGTGTTTCTACGACCAATTGTCCTATCTAATTGAGCACTAACTCCAAAATCAACTAATTTAACTTCTGCATTGTCAGTCAATAATACATTTTGTCCTTTTATATCACGGTGAATTACTTTATTACTGTGGAGATAGCTAAGACCTCTGAGAATTTCTCTTGATATATAAGCTATCCATTCTTCTTTAAGACTTTGACCTTTTGTAGATTTTACAAGATCAGTAACAGATCCAGCACCACAATATTCCATCACTAACCATAACTGATCGTCTTTTCCAGGTGGTGATTTTTTAATAAAAGCTCCATAATAAGTTGCAATATTTCTATGATTTGAGTACCTTTTAAGTACATTAATTTCCAATTTGATTTCTTCTTCTTCATCCTCAGTAACATCCATAACTTTAATTGCAGCCAACTGACCAGTTTTTGTATGTCTACCTTTATAAACCTGTCCATATGTGCCATTTCCAACAACCTCAATAAGTTCAAAAATACCAGCAGGATCCTTCAAAGCATTTAAATCTATATCATCTAAAGAACAATTAACACTAGGTGTTAAATTATGAGCCATCTTGATTACTACACTGCAAAAAATAATGAACTTAGGGTTTATGTAAAATTTAATTTCATAAATTCATTAATTTTCTTTTATAAAATTATATATATAAATAATTTATTTGTTTACTATGCTTATAATAAAAAAAATTATATAACAAAAAATATTATAATATTATAAAAATCTTTTATATTAAATATACAATTCTGTAATTTAATCAAGAATAACAGATATCAGTTTTCTTTTGTATGCAGAAATATATTTTAGGTAAAAACAAATAAATTAATTGTACATTATACTAATATAACTGTATATTTTTTTCTAAATCTTCATATCAAATTAATATATTTATAAAAGAAAATGTGATTGGTATGGTTGCATTAGGCAGTTAACAATTGTACATGTACATGCTTATTAACAAATAATATAGACATACGTGTCTATAACAATAGTGGGTAAAATAACAAAAATATTATGATTACCATAAAAAAAAGCTGGAGAAATAATTTTCTAATCATTTTAGAAAATAACCAAAGAGAAGCAAATAATATATAATTCAGTAATACATAGTGTTATGTTATCAAACTTTTACCCCGAATAACTATATTGGATATTCCATTTAATTTACATTAATATTATATATTTTATTGGAGAAAAATACAAATAAAATTATCAAATAAAATTATTGATATTTAATATTAATGTTTTAATTTAAAACATTATGAATACAATTCATTAAATATCAATATATATATATATATATATATATATATATATATATATACACACACAATAAATAAATTAGTTTCATTATTAAAGCTATTATAAAAGATTCATATAATTTAACAAAATATTAAGTACTTGTTTGTTCTTACCTAATACTAAAACAGAAATTATTATATATCTCAGATCTTATTTTTTACAAAATTTTATAATTAAATTCTTGATTAAATTTAGTTCATTGAATATAAATATTTATTTTGTAATCATTATTTTAAATATTATTACAAAATACCATTGATAATAGGTAATTAAATAACCATGTTTTATGTTAAAAATAACATAAATATATAATACTTATCAAATAGATTATTATCCACTAATTTTGATAAGAATAAACTGATTTTTATTTATCTGTAAGAAAAAGAAATATAAACAATTATATAATATATAATAAAAATAAACATACCTTAATAAACACAAAATATTTACACAGATCACAAAATGAAATTAAATGGTTATAATTGTATAAATAATAATACTTGATAAATATATTTCTGATGTTGATAATATTTTGTAATTTATTTGATAATATTTTAACCAATAAGATATATCTGTAATATTCAGTCGTAATATTAGCAAAAAATTTTCCGATAAATTTTTGTATGATTGTGGGTAGTCTTATGTCCATATGTTATTTGTTAACAAACGTATTTTTTACTTGAATGACATTTTCATGATTTTCTCCATTTTCTTGATAGTAATTTTATTTTATATCTACCACAAAATTGGCTTTAAATTTATTTTTAAATATATATATTGTATGTAATTAAACAATACTTCCTTAATATATGAGCACACTAATGAAAATGAGGTTAAATACCTTTAACTATAACTTATAGCGTTTCTTTTTCGTCATTCTGAATAAATGATTATAAAATTAATCAATTTAGAGTTTATGTTAAAACTAATTATGTTATTGAAGAATAATAATTACTTAATAAACAGTAACAAAAATGTGTATAAAGCAAACTCACTATGAAAATAGTTTAAACTTTTCAAAAAATATAATATGTGATTAAATACATATATCAAATATATAATTTCTAAACAATTATAGATGCTAAAACCCAACAACTATGCTAGCTAAACAGATTGCGCCACAATCGAAAAAATGTTACGATTACTTTGGCATTGATGCTTTTATTTTTAGGGCTAAATTAAAAAAAATCTGTATAATATTAAAAATTTAGTATAAAGTTTTTTACTAAAAAATAATTTTGATTTACATTGTTTACATAAAAAATTTTAAATCAATGATAAAATTTCAGTAACTTGAATACATTTTGTGTCTTTTTTTTATTATATATATATATATATATATATATTATATTAATAATTTTATTTAAATTTAAACTATTATTTTAAATACTGTATTTATATATTTAATATACATATTATATATTTCACCTATACCTATATATATATAATTTATATATTTATAATAGATATATAATAAATATGATTTTATAAGTATAAATAAGTATAAATTTTAATTTATTAGCTTAATTTGTAAAGTGTCTATTTTTATAGTGGAGTACTATAATCCAATAATTTAATTCAATTAATCAAGATAGATTTATACATTTAATAAATACTTTGCCTGCAAATTTTGTAAAATTATGTATAAATTGTGATTTTCAAATATATTTAATGTTTATTTAAAAAAAAAAAGTACAGTTAGATCTTTGTTAGAATGTATTTTTATTATTTTTAATATTTTAAATATAATTAACTGTTTTTATATTTATAATAATAAAACAATAGTAAAAATTTATAAATATCCATTTTATTAAATTTTTTTTTTTAATGTAGGAAAACATTCAATATATAATCCATTATTGTTTTAATAATATTTAATCAAAGAATGCATTTTCGAAAATTTTATTTATAATTTTGAAGGCAATATGCATAATTTACATTAAATTGAATAATACTAATTATGCAGAAATAAAATTTTAAAATAATTACATTATTTTAATTAAAATAGAAAAAATAAAGAAAATATTAATTAAAAACTTATAATAAAATATATATTCTTAATCTTAATTAAATTCTGTTAATATTTAAAAAAAATTAGTTTTACATAAATTTAATGAACAATTTGCAAATAAAAATGAATTATTTAATATAAAAAAATGTATAAAAATATAATATTTAATCAATAATCAAATTTAATTTATATAAAAATTATAATATAAATTTTTTTATTATAAAAATTTAATCATCTTAATGTATTTTTATAGATTTAAAAGTTATTAATATTTTAAAGTAATATTTTTGATAATAATTTTCATTGATAGTCTTAAAATATATCATCTATTTATTAGTTAACCTATAAATACGTTTATAATGAAACTGAAGTATTTTTATAAATATATAAATAAATGAAACATATGAAAAAAATATAAAATAAGAAAATTATAAAAAAAATAGGGAAAAATATATAATAAATGACCATCTTACATAACTATTATCAAAAATTTATATAAATATTTTAAATTTTGATTTCCTTTACATTCTAAGATAAACCAAGTAATACTTCACAACAAATTGTAACTAAAATTTATTTAAAAGAAATTTTAAATTTTAAAAAAATTAAATTATCAAAATTTTAAAAAAGCATTACATTGGGATTTAATTATTTAATATATCCTACATGTTACTTCTAATACATAATTCTTTGTAGCCTTACCTGATATATGAAACTTTTATTTATTGAATCACTGATTAAACCTTAAAAACAAAATGGTTAGGTTACGTATGCACGCATATGTACGCATTAATTGAAATCAACAATTTGAAAGTTGAAATAAGAAGTTGAAACTTGTATAATAAACAGATAAGCAACTTTTGTAATATATGACAACTCAACATTTTTTTAGCTGTAATTTGAGTGATAACGATGGCCAATAGAAATTATAAGCAGATGAGTTAAATTGTTACAAAATATGTAGCTGTTACCTATATATATATATATATATATATATAGTATGAATAATTTATTGTTAGTATCTTAATCAGTACAATTAATAAAAATAAATTGAAAATACTTAATAACAATTATAAACTAAAGCAGACAAATTACTTTACGACAAAATACGTGGCGATCATTTGTATATACTGTAAAGTTTCGTATATCGAATATCATATTCCAAAAAAGTATTTTATTTTATAGAGAGCGCTGATGTAATTTTCTTCACGCGATTTGATTTAAAATATAAAATTGGAACCATGTATTTTAATTATAACAATATATTATATAATCTTCTCTTAGCTAAAAATATATTAAAAAACTGTCTTGTTAAAAAAAACATTGTTACTACTTTCATTGTACAATCTTACTATGATTTGAGTATACTCTAAACTATACGATAGGTCGGTAAAGGTATGATAAAAAAGTCATCCTCTTCTGTCTTATATTTATGATATTCATGTATCTTCAAGCTCTTTTATGTTTTCCCTATAATTTTTTAATAATAATTAATAATTTCTACAATTTGCTTTTGTTTTAGCACAAAGAGGTCCTGAACTTAAATAATAATATTTAAGTTAATGATATTTCTCTTAATGAATTTTAGTGAAAATTTTTTGAGTTAAATTTTGATGGTGTTATTATATAAGGCTTTTACAACTTAAGTAATGGAATATGATAACTTATTTCATGAAAATCTTGCATTTCTAAAGTATACAATAATATTCACGTTTAATTAATAATTCTACAATTAATAATTAATAATAAAAAATTATTAATCTTATATATATTTATCATTTTTACCTTTAAAAACGTGTTTTATTATATTAAAACTAAAACTTATTTTTATTTCACATTTGTCTATTAATTATTTGTTTTGGAATTTACCTATAAATTTATAAATATTATTTAATCTATTATTTTTTAAATTAATCTTTTTGATAATATGTAAATCATGCTATGTACAATCTATTTTTATAAGCAAACTGTAAAAGACATTATAATAATTTATCAATATAATAAAGTAAATAGCAATTTACTTTAATCATTTAAATTATATATTATTTGTAAACAATTCTTATTTTTACCTATAGAATTTGGTGTTATGTTTAAGATAATTTGTTTGAACAAACATATTGTTTTATAAATATTTTATAGTTATATTTTACTTAGTTCTATTTCAATAATAAAGATTCTTTTTTTATAATGATAAATTAAATAAACTTTCAGATACATTTATTTATATTTATTGTATAATTTTCCAAATAACATGATGAAATATATAAATGGAATAAAGTAGCGGACTATGATTGAGATCACAAATACTCATATACCGTGTAGCTGTTTTGATAAACTTCTTTACGATCCTTGAATAAGTAGACTTAGTTTTACGATCTGATAATTCTTAATTTAAAAATAAAACTTATTCAAACAGAGTTTTATTATTTTTATATAAGACCACTTTTTAAAAATTTCTTGTAATTGCCTGTATTTAAGGAAAATCTGTTTTATAGAAGTATATGCAGCAATATTATAATAATATAAATCATTTTATTAAAAGAATCACTTAAAAAAATTATGTTTAAATAAATATTTTTATTGTCATTAAAAGTTAAAAGTATCATTAACACTTAGCACTATGTATAATGTATAATATTTATATTATTCAAAATTAGTCATGAATTTATATTATTAAAAATATTTTATTAAAAATAATAATTTTAATCTTTTATATCAGTATATTAAACGTATTAATTATATAATAAATTATAAAATATTGAACAATTAAGCTAATAATATTCATTGTAGATCAAAATTGAAAAACAGAACATGGAATATATAATCGCGCAAAACTCTTATAAATAATGAACCTAAAATATAAATAATGAAAGTAATAGAGAAAAGCGATATTTCGTGTTTTTCATGATTTTAGATATTAAATGTATTATATAGATATAGAATAATAGATATGGCAATACTTATCTACACTAAACGTTCAAATTTCCAAAAGATTTTAATATTTTAAAACATAAAAAAAATTCGATAACTCGGCGCACGAATTAGATCCATTCATCTAAGGTCTTGCTATTAATACTCGGTCATGTTAAAGCTCGCAAATACTAGAAAAGAAAAATATTTTAAATTTTACGATAATTTATGATAAATTAAGAAAACTATTATTGATTCGACATGGGTGAATCCCAATTATTTCGTGAGTCCGATACACTATCAAAATGACATGATGAGCTATGTGAATGCATCTGAATTATTCAAAACTTTCGAAAAAAGTTTCTAAAAAAAGAATATATTAGTGTCCCTTGTAATTTTGTATCTTCAGTTATAATAATAAATTATAAATCATTATAGCATATTTGCTATATCATATTCTTACCATCGCCATCATATATATTTCACTATTTATTACAAATTTCTAGATGCATTTCACTATAATATGTCATAAAATAATGATCATCTATTTTTAATTTCTTCAATTAAAAATTATTTACAAGAAAAAAGATTAATGAATATTTAATAATCAATATTTTTATGTTTTTTTATTAAAATATGAATTATAAAAATATGTTAATTTATTAATTTAATTAATTTAATTTAATTTATTATTAAAAAAATAAATATAGATAATAATATTATTTAAAAATAATATAAATACACTAATAATTCTTCAAACGATTACCAAATGAAATACGGATTCTATAATCAAATCGAACAACTGTTTAATAAATTTTTTTTAGTTGGTACATTTAACAATTTTATTATGTAAACAAAAAATATGAAATAAAATTTTTATATAAATAGTAAAATAAAATAATCTACAAAATATTGAAATAAAAATAATGTACGAAAAAATAATTTTACAGTTTCATTTTACAATTGAAATTCTAATTGAATCTTTCTTATGCTATAAATAACAATATATAGATTAAAAAAATATAAAAATTTTAATTCAATAAATTTGTATTGTTATTTTATTGTTTTATTGTTATACATAAATAAAATTATATAAAATATTCTATACATATAATAAATATAAACCGAAGAAATAACAGAATAAGAAGAAAAAAATAAAAAATAAATATAAAGTTTTAATTTATTATATAAATTAAATGTGAATCCAATTAATAAATAAAAATACCGTACAAAATTTTTTTTTCAAATATTATGATTTAATAAAGCACAGTGATTATTATTTATATTATATATATATATATAAATAGATGAATAGATAGACATATAGATAAACAGATTAATAATTAGATAGATAGATAGCAGCGGTTACAGTTAAAGGGGGGGGGGGTTATTTTAAAATAAAACAAATTTTATTTTAAAATATAATTTAAAAATAGCAAAAATTACTTAATAAGTAATGCAACGTGTTTGATTTGATTGTCATTATTTTAATTTATTATATTATATTTATGATAAAGTATTAATTTGCACGATTGACTACATTCAATTAAATCTAGTTTTGAAAAAGTAAAAATAGAAATGAAATAAAATATTTCATAAAACGAATACAATTGATATTTTCAAACATTAGAAAATTAAAGTTTAAATAAAGGGAATTATTTATGTATCAAAATTTTCTATATCATATTTTATTTGTAGTTTTGCTTACTTAAGTTTTATATGAATTAGGAAAACATTTATCAATTATCATATATTCAAAATAAAGCAAAATATAAAAATTAAAACAATATTTTTCATAAGAATTAAGTGACACATTTTAAATATTAAAAAATACCTATTACGTAAGTGTACAAATTTAGTGTATCAATATTCGAAACACGAGGTTATTTAATCTCAGAATACGAGATTAAATGAATAAATTTCTGGATTTCATGAAAATAACTGCATATATGCTACATCTAGGTAATACACATACTAATCCTCGTTTGGAGTGATAAAATTATGTGTGCGTAGAATAATTTAGTACGTGTGATATATGTTCGTACACTCAAACAGGATAGTTCCTACACTATAAGTGAATTCGTTAATTAAATTAACAATTAACTATATAAAATGAATTTTAGAAACTTCAAAATATTTTAATATATTTGTTTTCAATTCAGCAGTAGCATAGTGTATAATTACTTTTATTGTATTTTCATTGCATTTAATAATTTCTTAATTTGCGTGATTCAACAAAATTAAGTTAAAATGTATAAACAAACAGAATATGGATTTATTTTAGTTAATATCTATTTACTCATCATTTTTCCAAGAAAATTGATTATCAATGCTCTTGATTTTAGTTTAAAAGCTAATGGTAAGAATTAATTTGTGATTATAAGTAAATCTTATACAAACATGTAAGTTTTATCTTAAAATATATATATCGTTTGAAGATTTCCTTAAAGTAAAATTATAAATAAGTTCAAATTATTAATATCCAACATATAATTAAATATCATTTAATTTTATTGAAATAAGTTCATGTATATAAAATAATTTATTTTCGTTTAATCTTCTTCACTAAATATATCGATCACTATATAATTATAAATAACAAATTTTGTAATGATATTAAATCTTTACTTTAGTTAACATTAAATTTAAAAAACATAATAGCAATATAAGAAGAATAGTAATTATAAAAAGAGTATATAAGAATATATATAAAAAAAAGTATTAATGATTTCTTTATGATTTATGATTTCTTTAATGATTTCTTTATGATTAAGAGTATATAAGAATATATATAAAAAAAAGTATTTATGATTTCTTTATGATTTATGATTTCTTTATGATTTATGATTCCTTTATGATATATGATTTCTTTATAATGAAGAGTATATAAGAATATATGATTTCTTTATGATTTATAATTTCTTTATGATTTATGATTTCTTTATGATTTATGATTTCTCTATAATTTATGATTTCTTTATGATTTATAATTTCTTTATGATTTATGATTTCTTTATGATTTATAATTTCTTTATGATTTATGATTTATTATTATTGGTGTAACAAGTATATATTTATTAATTAATTTAATATTTTTATTTTTAACAAAAATTTATGAAAATAAAAAATTTAAATCTTTTATACTAAATACAATTTAATGATAAGGGTTACACAATTATGTAAAATTTAAGTAGACTAAATATTTAGTAATTATAGTTATCATGTTGCTAATTATATATATTAAATATATTTAGTACGTGTCGGTGATAGGAATAGTTAAACGTGATGAAAAATTAAATACATATTAGAATTGATGAGTTTAAATATCCTTATGTAGAGTATACTGTAAAGATATATAATAATCTTTCTATAGTATGAAAATATAAGTTATATAAATAAAGTAATGTACATGATTTTCTACATATGTAGTATGCTATTTTTAAAAGAATTAATTGTATATTTTTACAAATAAAATAACACTTTTAATGAATAATAGTCATACAAATTTATTATACTAAACATTATAATTATTATTAAATAATATTATAATATTCATTTTTCTCTATATTAGTTTTTTTAACAACTAATATTTTATATTACATTAAAAATTAATTGATAATTTGTTTTTTTATTTATTTATACAGCAAACTTCTATTTTGTATTTGTCATTTATGCTTTAGAAAATGATTTTTTTATAAAGTTTTTAATTGATAATAATTAATATAATCAATTTTGTTATACTTTTTGAAAAAAATGTTAAAAATAAATGTATAAATTAAAATTTATATATGTTTTAAATGAAAAAAAATTTTTTATTAAAGAAACAATATTTACAGGCATTGTTTATTCATTAAGCATTAGAACAACTAGTAAAAAGTAATATTATCTCACTACTTATTAATTGATTAATGACACAGTATTTGTTTTTAAAGGCGATGCGCTTTCTGAAGGTAGCCCATGTATGATGGAGGATGGAGGTACAGGGAGATGCGTTGAATTACCGAAGTGTCCCATTAGAATCATGGAGGTACAACAAAGCAAACGCTTTTCTACATCCACGGGACGTTGTACTTTCAAAAATTTCATTGAAATTGTTTGTTGTCCAGAAAATATTAAGTCTTTCACTAAAAGACCTGCTGAAAAAGGTATATACTATTTTTTTATAAAACTTATATAAATAGAACTTTTTTTTTATTTCTGTATTTTTTATTGTATTAACTTTAAAAAAATACGTAACACCTGTCTGGGATCAGACTAAAAAACCTCCTTGTGATGGTGGGTGGAGGTGTTGCTGGCAAGTGGAAGGGGCAATGCAATTATTCAATACTGCCTTTAATGTTTATTGTCTTTCCTTTTATTAAATATAATAAATAGGGAGGAACGTAAGGAACGTCCGTTGTGCGTTGCTGTTTACGTAGGCGTGAGCCGGTATAGTTGTGGTAGTAAGGAACGTCCGTGGTGCATTGCTGCTTACGTAGGTGTGAATGCCGGTATAGTTTTGGTAGTAAGGAACTCCGTGGTGCGTTGCTGCTTACGTAAGCGTGAGAGCCGGTATAGGTGTGGCCTCACTATTAGTTCCTTAGACTGCTTGATGCTTGCGATGTCTGTCGTGGTAATGATTGTAGGTAGAATAGTGAGCCCGTCGTAGAGACTGCGTGATTAGTACTAGCAAGCGAGGATACACGTCAAGCGCTGCTTCTTAAATATTTTCGTACGAGCTTACGACGCTGGTAGTGCACCGGTGGCTGTTGCTATGCCAATCATTACCGTAACGTCACTAGAATCTAGCCTTGGAGAGTTCATCGGCCTCACTAGCCTAAACTATATTCTAATATTCGAGCGTTCTGCGTAGTAAGTTTCCAGGATTCGCAGAATTGTAGTCATAACGTGATGTACGGGTGTTTATACCTCTCCCACTTTTGTATTCTGTCTTTAACTGCCATCATCATTGATGATTAGAATTCGTGTCTTCGGTGGGAAGTAGCAGTACTGGTAGAATGTGGATTGGTCTTGTGATTGTGGTTGAGTCAACTTGGGCAAGAAGTGTGGAGATTTCCTTAAATGTCAATTATCCAATGGTATTCCTTATGTAACTTGGCGGAGCCTACCACTGCTTCCCATTTTTTCATGTGATGCGAAATGAATTCATATTCTTTTTAGGCTTGGATAATTCCTTGAGGGAGGATTCTCGGGTGATTGCGAGCAAGTTTCGAAGACGTGACAAATATCATGCTATCTGTGCCTGGTACATTTTGTTTCTGTCCCTTGTAGCCCTGAGTTATTCTTTCAATGCCCTTATCGCTGTGCTTCTGTTGAATACTTCCACGGGGGGTGACTTCGTGTTTTTTTTTGTAGAATTGCTGAGACGGCCTGAGTCTCAGTCATTGTAATGTGGTGAAAATTCATTCAAGATATGGTTGGAAAGGGTGGGCGCGTCTTCTTGTGGACTTCAGCGTAATCAATTTTATATTGTACAGTTAGCAATACAATTTACACTTATAGTTTTCTAACGGTTGATGGCGATGAGGATAGCGCGATAAATTAATTGCCGTTTTTTCTCACTGGGAGCCGCCCGCTATGCAGCGATTCTGCAGTTGAATCGGGTTTCCAGTCGTAATGCAACATATGTTCTCACCTCCAAGATTCATGCCATGTCTGCCATGCGCGATGAGTGGCACAGCCAGGGGAATCTTTCTCCCTAATCTTCCACTAGCTGCTTTAATGTCCTGATTGCAGTTAATGGAGCAGATCTTGTGCCTTGGCTACAGTAGTCAAATGATTGCCACTCTTTCATGGTTGTCGATCCAATGGATTCCTTGTAGGTCCTAGTTGTCCTCGTGAACTTGTATCTGCTCATGGCAATATCAGTGAGAGTGCGAGTCATCCTAGAAAAAGCATTATTTACATGTTTTAAAGAACTCCAATTCACTATTACAAGGTGTTCAAGAATGCGAGAATATTTTTTCTTTTTTGTCAGTGCAATAAAACATCTGGCAAGTAACATCGTAAAATTTGTATTTGGATTTCAAAACTTCGCTTGCTCAAAATTATCAAGCACTAGTGTCATTAAGCATCTGGAAAAGCAATACCATAAACACGGGAAAACCTATAGTTTAGACATCTGCATTTTCGTTCCGCTCGGTAACTACATCAAGCATTACTGCAAGCGGACCTTCCTTCCCCTTCCCGCTGTCAACAAGTTGCAATGCTGTCTCCAGATGTGTCAGCAGTGCCCCCCCCCTTTCCGCTGCCAACATGCTATCGCATGCGGCAGCAGCAACGAGAGATCTGCTCATCATGAAGACCCAGAGAAGACTAGGCCCTTAATTACCTTCGAAGCCAAAAGAGGCGCTGCCCTCGCACTATAAGAGAGGAGTCTCTGATTGGACAGAAAATAAGGGAAGGGGTTCAAATAAAATTCATGGTGAGCAAATGTATTTAAGGGGCGCAATTTTCAATACTTATTTACTCTCGATACTTATCACTCGTGATATTTAACTGTCTTGATATTTACTCTTGATAGTGTTCTTTAGTAGTACTACTCTTTTTTGAAGTGTCTCTCTTTTTTTGATATCTCTCGTTCAGTAATACTCTCTCAATATATTAAACCCTTGAGACATTTCATACTCAGTTAAATTTAGTGAAAGTCGATTTAACTCTATTGCGGGAAACGACTTACACTTCTTCAGATTGTCCATTAACACTGGTACTGGAACAGTAGTTACAAGCCCCGGAAGAACGACGACATAAGCCCGTATGTCCACTAACGCAGTTCAAGAAACCGTCGTTACATGCTCCAAGGGAGCGACGACAATCCGCCTATCAGAGTCCGAAGACGAGTCAACGATTAGTCTTTGTAAGTAGTATCTACTACAATAATTACATATATATTGAGATTCAGAGTATTACATGGACAAGCACTAAGGACGAGGAAGCTACTCTTAAAACGACAGTGCGGAATAAATTCTAGTACGCCTCGTCAAGTTTCGCGCCCGCCAGGGGCGTCTCATTTTTAGCAACCCTCACCTTAGTTCACGTTCGGAAGCTTATGAAAGTAAGCAAAACCCAGCGCAAGTGTCGACAATCCAGTTTCGCGCCACTTTGCGATATCTTTCAATCATAAAGCTGCATTCATAACCTCAACCACACACGTGCTCGTTCAAAAGGCGCTAGTGTCGAAACGAAACTTCGCGCCATTCGCCATTCGTATTCAACAATCAAGCTGCATAGATTACCAAACATTTGCCTCCGCAAACACATTAATTCAACACAAAAGGTAGTTCTACAATTAATAATAGTAATACTAGTCAACCTTGTCATCAATAAATAACAAAATATATCGCATATACTTTAGCCATATTTGCATTGTATTATTATAATATCCCTTCCACTTGTGACCTTTCATCGCTACCACACAACACCCGTGGTCTCTGAATTCGAGCCGGCCTTGATAAAACAAGTTGGAACGACAAGTTGCATTTTGTACATAAGTCATTAATTAGTTCTTAATAATGTTGACATACTTTGGAATTTTTTAATTTCTTTTAGAAATTTATCATTGTTTAAAAATAGTGTACCGGGCGAAAAGGGCCAAGTAACTAAGATTAGATGTGAGCTCCTGATGTTGATAGGAGGATTGCAGGCTAGTGGACAAGATAGTACATGTATTCAATAAAGAGCAGTTTTGTTATTTAGTTTGTTTTATTTATGATTGCACTAGTTGAATTATAATTAGTTTTATTTTTATAATTGATTTTTTTGGCTTTTCTTGATTTGTATGTTTATTGCCATTGAGCTATCACGTACGTCGCATACACAGGAAGAAGTTGATGCCTTGCTGGTCCTCTATATGTAACACGTGTAGATAGAGTAATACACACAGAAGAGCGAGGTCGTAAACCCCCGCGCTTCCTTGTATATGAGCACGTGGCGTCGCTTGAATTGCTTGTATTATGGTTTGCAGATAGCTTTACGTATCTGCAGATTGGCGTATAGCTTGATATAGTTATGTATTAATTTGGAATGGAACGTTACCTCATGAGTCTGCACGTTGTGTATAGCTATGTTTTGTCTTGTTCTCTGAGTTGCCTCGTATGGCTCCTTGTAATTTGATTATGTATACTGAGCGGACTAATATTCGTAGTTCTCGATTCCCCTTTTTTGTATTACACTGCTGCGAGTGTATGATTTGATTATCTAGTACTTGTGTTGATTAAGATAAGTGATTGTGCCATGCTGGCGTTGCCTTTTTTAAAGCCTTCTCTGGACCACGCGATGGTCGGTGAGGATTCCCTCTCTTTTGGTGTCGCCAATCAGAGCTGTCTTGTCGATCATGGCGTTGCCAATGAGATTTAGTCTTATTAGTGTGCCCAATCAGAATTCTTCTTTAGTTTATGGTAATTCTAATCACGGCGCCTTTCGAGTGGTGGGGTCTCCCACCAGTGAGTCTTTCCAAGATGAAGGCTCCAATGAGAGCGGGTCTTGCTCAACTCCCGTCCATGATGGGGGGTCTTGATGCCGCGCTTTTCCCTCTCCATCGTAGCATTGTTGCATGCATTTCTTATAATCATGCACGTTGCGATCGGTCAGTGTTGTGAAGGTTAGGTGTAGCATTGTTTTTGAGTGTATCATCTGGCTTGTGTTTTTCAGGCTAATTTTATGATTTGTGTACGCCAGATGTTTTATGATTTGTCGTCGATACATGCTTTATGGCGAGGCCGTGTCAAATGTCTCGTAGCATTAGTTTTATGACTTGTTTTGCTGGACACTTGGAGCCTTGTTCTCGCCATATGTGTTTATGAAGTTTATTTTCTTAAGATATTCGAAGTTTTGCTGAATTATTTAGATTTAGTTAATCCGAGGCACGTTTTTGAATATTATTACTCGCGTAGCCGAGAGTTGCCTTTTTCGGAACTCTTATCTCGATTTTTCCAGATGTTTAATGTGCTGGGAGTTTTCTTACATTCTTGAACAATCATCCAATAAGAATTTGAATGTGTTTTCTTAATCTACTATGATTAGCGAACACGCAGACAAAATCTTTATACAGTTAATAATAGACAAAGTTAATAATATGTTTTTAAGAATTTTTCTATTGTACGTACACAGAAATATTAAGAACATCACCAGCATTCAAAAATTGTAT